ATGAGAGGCTAAGATGCAATTTAGAGGAAATTGCAACTTTTAGCCCAAAGGTTTGAATAATTAAATTCAAACCTATAGTTTTTTTAATATAATTTTGGGACGCACAATCCCATTTTTATATTATTTTTTTCTCTTCCTCTCACGTTGCTCGGCGTTTTCTCGCAAGGGGGATTATTTTCTTTTTTTTCAGGTATGTTCTAACTTTCCTATTTAGATTAGCATTTAAAAATTTATTTAATTACAGAATTAATTTTATAGTTATTTTCTAAATAATATTAGCTTTCTAGTGATATGATTATTTTCTAGGATAGAGTAAATATTTTGTTTAGAATTTTTCTATAGGATAGTTAATCTGATGATATGATGGATTAAAAATATAGGTTAAAAATCTTAGGGATATAATAAATATTATAGAATATTTTCTTGAGGTTGAAACTCATATTTAAGAATTTTTGAGTTAAAATCTAAATCTATATGGTTGAATTTATGTGGAATCTGAGATGTAGGGATAAACCTATGATTATTAAATATTTATTTAAGTATGAATAGGTATTTTTGAGATTATAGAAAGGTGATTTGAGGCTTCAGAATAATTTTAAAATTTAATTTATTTTTGGACGAATTTTTAAAATATAGAATGATGAAATTGTGATACTAGAAGTGATTTGAGGATAAAAAAATAGTTTATTAGGGTATGAGAATTTTAGAAAAAAATTTGGAAAGTTAAATGAGACATAAATCTTAAATTAGTGTTAATATGGATTATAGATCTAAGACTTTCTAACTATTTAAATTAGAGTTATTTATTTTAATGTAAAATTAATATATAGTATTGTGAAATAATTATGTAAATTATATTGATAAAGATAGTGGTAAAAAAGGAGTTGTGAAGGGGAACTTGTTATTCAAGACACAAGGTAACCATTATTAATGTGTTGTGATGGGTGTGTTTGTGAATGGTTATGTGTTGTTTTGTTGTTTGAAAAAATTATGAATTATTGAAAATAAATACTGTTATATACTTCCGTGAAATCATTGCCAAGTGGGTTAAAAATTTATTTTTTGTTTATCATGATGAGATATTATTGTTCGGATATATTCCTGTTTGGATATTTGAATGATGCATGACTTGTCAGGGTATTTTAATGTATGGTGTTAATGGAAATTTCTGTTCGATTAATTATTACCACGTGGTAAGCCCTCATTGGACCCAATGAGTGGCGTGTCGCTTGGTCCAACTCACCTTTGACCGGATGATTTGGCGTCCGAGCATGGCGAAAGGAGGATATAAGGTGTAGTCATGCAATTAAATACTTGTTCAGTTTATTTGAAAATATTGTTCGGTTAAATGTTTTGTGTGCCCACTTAGCAATCGCATGATTAGTTACATCCGCATGCATCATTACATATTAATTTTTGGTTACTGGGACTTTTAAGTCTCATTCCCCGTGGTTAATATTTTTACAGGAGCGAGTTCAGCCAAAAAAGCACTAGAAGTGTAATTATGGTGTATGAGACACCATCTTTTACGTTACCTCTTATTTTGGATTATACAATGTATCTTGTGCTAACTTAGGACATATCTTCTTTGTGGAGCATGTAAAGTCTAATCCTTTTTATTAAATGCATTTATATGTTCAAGAGGATTATGTCTGTCCCTTTTAATTTATGATCTGATTTGAATAATATGCTATGAGGATCATGTCTATCCCTCATGGTTCTAATTTCTTTTTGAGATATTTTAAGACCTGTGGTATATTGTTTTGGATGTATCATGGTAGAAATTTTTCTACCATGATAAGGGTATGATAAGGGTTCAATGAAAAAAAATGAGTTGTTGAATTAATAATTTGTAAAAAATCGATTTGTAAATTTGAGGGTGTTACATTAATGGCACGCATGTATAATAAGAGCATTAGAAAACATTTTGGAGGCCTAAGGTAGTAGTCTTGCTTGCCTTGCTATTTACACAGCCTTGCCCTTTGATTAGTGTAAGAAGACTTTCAAAATTAATTAGAATTATTTCCTAGCATGATATTAAAAAAATTCCCAATTCAATTCCATCATTCTAATACAAGAGACATATTCATCCAAACTTATTTCCTTTCTTAAAAAATGTAAGTTATTTTTAATCAACTTTTACCCTTAATAAAGTAATTATTTTTTTTAAATTGAAGTCATCTTTCCATTTTTACTTTTATTTAATAGAAAGTTTCACTTAAAAGGTAAGTATAAAATAATTTATTTATTAAGAGTAATTTTTGAAAAACATGATAATTACACCTTAAAATACTAAAAATGACTTGTATTTTTTAACATACAACCCTTAAAAAAATGCTTTACATTTTTTAATGGAGGTAGTAATATAGGACATTTTCTAAGATCCCCACTTAGTCCAAAATATAGGATATTGGATATGTTATATATATGTATGTATGTATGTATATACTCTATCCATTAAAAAATTTAAGGCAGTTTTTGAGGAGTTAGATATTAACAATATAAAACATTTTTAATCTTTCAAGGTGTAATCATTGCTTTTTTTTAAAAAAAAAATACTCTTATTAATAGTGACTTTATATTTATTGTAGAATATTTAATAGAGATAAATATGAAAAAATAAGGTTAGTTTGAAAGTAAGCAACTATTTTATTAAAGGTGAAATTCAATTAAATATCTTATATTTTTAAATAGAGGGAGTATTTAATTACACCATTACTTTATTATATTTCACTCAAGTATTAATGAGCATTTTTGAATGAGTCAAATGTTATATTTATTTTATTTAAATGCACAATTGAAAATATGTGAATTTTTTTTAGAAAATTAAAATCTTAACCAACCTTTTTAGGAACATAAATTAATTAACAAAAACTTATATCGTGGTTCAAATGGATTAAAAAAAAATTTGGTGCACTAATCATGAGTTTGACAACTAGATATTTTTAAGCCAGTTAGGATCATATTCCAGCCAAGTATTAAAAAAAAATCTCAACCCAATTCTAATGTCCTTGTTAATAATGACATGGAAAATAAAATAAAAAATCAACGCACTTGAACTAAATCACGAGTTTAGAAGGCAGACACGGTGGCGGATTTAAAACGCTTAAGTCAGTGGGGATAAAATGACAAGCTACTAGAATTGAAACTAAGTAGGGTCAAAATATTAGAACTAATAGGATCAAAAAAAGTAATTTTTACATTTTGTCGTATAATTTTTGCAAAAGTGACAAGGGGCAAGTGTCCCCTCACACCAAGGTAGGTTGGCTACTGGCGAGACAAATCTCTCAGGTTTAGTTAAAGTTATTTCCCAATAGAGTATTAAGAAATCTCTAATCCAATCCCAATATCATCAATAGTACAGTGAAATTGAAACCGCAAAAAATTACTATACTCTGCCTAAAACACAAGTTTGATAGTTAAATATTCTCCAAGTCAAATTAGAATTATCTCCCTAGCAAGTATTATGAAATTTTCAACCCAAATCCAATACGCTTGGTAGCAGTGACATAATTTTTTTTTTAAAGCTGGTACACTTGAACTAAATCACAAATTCAAAATTCAAATATTTTTCAAGTTAGTTTAAGTTATTTCTCACACAAGTGGTAAAAAATTTCTAGCCCAATTTCAATATTCTCAATAGCACGGGCATGATGAGTGTTTTAGTTAGAAGTAAAATTTTTTAACTGCAGAGAATGTCTACGGTCTTTAAATTTAATTTCACTATTTCATAGTCTTGAGTTATAACTGTTAGCCTGACCATTTCAGGTATTATTTGCTAGCGCCTTTTTTTTCTTGTGGGGTAATTTATACAGCGCCCTTTCGGTGCAAGTATACTTACAGTCTTAAAGATGAAAAAGAAAGGGGGTGACCTCATATCAAATATGGCGGGATCGGTGGAGCGTTCCTCAATCAAGCAACGCAGGCCACATTTAAGTGATAGAGTCTGGAAAAAGGCTCGCCGACCTTTGCTTATGCCAAATCATCCATGCGTTGCTTGACACATGTAGACGGCAGTTACAATTTCAGCTGTCCTTGTTACTGGTCCATAATAACAAAATCGCAAATTATAATTATAAATTATAAATCTGTTAATATCCCGTCCCACTTGTCGTTTCATCTCCTCATCGCCATCTTTTCCAGGGTAATTCTGTCATTTGTCAGATCAAGGACTTATTCATAAACAGACATTTGACATATCCGTTGATCGAGACAGAGAGGGAGGTCGGAGTTGCAAACTGGCCCTGTGAACGCGCATTCAGCGGCTCTGTATAACTGTATGCATATAATAAAATATATTACTCGTTCATTTTATTTATTTACATAGAGTAGTTAATTAGACGAGGCCGCAGCCCACGAGGGCAGGCCTCGGCGTTCCTTCCCGCACTCAAGGGATACGTAGAACTCATCAATGCTAATGATTGTCTATACGGTACTTACTTGCTTTAAAGGATTAATAGTATAACTCCATTTATTTCATTTTTTTTATGAGTCAATTTTAAAAGATTTTTTTTATCTTTTATATAAGTTATTTTTTTATTTTGGTAATATTTAATATACAATTTTAAAATTACCTACAACCAATTTTAAAAAAATATCTTCATATATCAAATTATCCTTTTTAAATTTAAGGACAAAATTAAAAAATAATTTATTTTTTAAATAATTTTATTATTCTAACTCTATCAAATATTCCGTTCTTTTCTATATATAAGATATTTTTAATTAAATTATTTAAATTAATAAAAATTAATTATCTACTTAAAACGATTTTAATGTTTTAGTTTTGCCTCCAACTATTGTGAATGAAAAAATAAATATTTTTTAAAAATAAATTAATGAGTACTTATATTTTTTTATTTTTAATATAATAAAAATATAATAACTCATTTATTTAAAACATTAATGCTGGTAACATCTTGTATTTAGAAAAATACAAAAAAAGTTCTAAAAACATATATAGGACTGAGGGAGGAGTTAAAAGCGACTGGGGAGTAGTACTTTACTTTTATACCTCCACTTACCAAGATTCCTCCTTGTCTGCTTCATACTTGGACAGTCCGCACCTGAAACCAACGCTTCTCAGCTTAACCGCCACCACCTCCTGTTCTTTCTCTTCCTACTCGTGCGGGTCACCCGCTGGAACCGGTCTCACCCAGATTGAATCGACCTAGAGAGTGAGTGCGTGCGTGAGAGGTTGATTGGGACGGTGACGATACGTCACGATACCCCCCGATGACCAATCCGGAGTCTAGTCGTCACCACCGGTCCAGAGCTCGGCCGTCGACGGCACGGACGCCGACTCGGCCCAGGGTCCCGCTCAGGCAGTTGCTTCGAGTGGCTTCTGTCGCCGGTGGCATTCAATTTGGCTGGGCTCTGCAGCTCTCTCTTCTCACGCCTTATGTACAGCAGCTCGGTATTTCTCACGCTTGGTCCAGTATCATATGGCTCTGTGGCCCACTCTCTGGTCTCTTTGTTCAGCCTCTGGTTGGGCTCATGAGTGATCGCTGCAATAGCCGGTTTGGCCGCCGGAGACCGTTTATCTTGGTTGGAACATTGTCGATCATTGCCTCGGTTCTGATAATTGGTTACGCCGCTGACATTGGTTGGTTGTTCGGTGACACGGAGAATTCAAGGCCCCGAGCTGTGGCCTTTTTTGTGTTTGGCTTTTGGATTCTGGACATGGCCAACAACATGACTCAAGGTCCTTGTAGAGCTTTGCTTGCTGATCTCACTGGTAAAGTCTTCTTCCAATTTTCTCGGTCCTTTGCATTGAATTTGCAATCGTTTGAGGAATTGAACATTCTATCGCCCAACTCGATTAGGATATAGTGCTAACATCCGATCGGAAACGGAGAATCGTCATTGTTTGTCGATTCTTTTTAAATTACACTTGACTTATTCTGCATCTATCCGGATGTTAGCACGTACGTTATTGCAATTTGTGTCAGTAACCAATGTGCTTCTAGAAAAGATCGTGCTCCTTGATGTTGTGTTGGCATCCATCTAGAATCTTCATCAATGTTCAACGCATAGTTGACTTGGATGGTTTCTGATGAATTTGACCAGTTATATCTTGAATTAGTTTGTGTCTAGATGAGCTTGACTATTGAATAAGAACTATAATACTTAGTATTGAAGTTACCCGCGAACACGATTTTCTATATATACTTTGGTAATTAGGTCTTGAAAACGGTATTTTACAACATGACAGATATGGACCATTTAAAGGTGGAATGAAATCTTCCAGTTTGAAATAGAGGTCCTCTCTTTATCTCCTTTTTCCTGTATCTGGATGTGGGGTTCCTTGCAAAGTCTTATATTCAAAGTAGCGTAAATAAGTATGCCCAGGAAGGTGAGAAAATTCCTTTGATCAGTACTTCCGAGCTATGGGTAACCCCAGATCCCCTTACTTGGGTTGAACTAGAGAACGTTCTATTGATTTGATCATCACTTGGTAAGGAGAGCTGAAAAATTCCTACTGACGTTATATCTATAAGTTGGATCCAAGTTATTCATTTCATCTCACAAATCCCCTGGAGAACATATAGTATTGACAATATGTTGGGATATAGGACTGAAATGTTTTCTGAGTGCAACTTAGCAGTTCTAGATGCTCATTTGCGGATTATTTTGCTGGTAACAGAAGAGAAGAAGCATAGTATTGACAAATTAAGTGCTACATGTATCATTCCTCTTTTTTGTTTACCATTTCTATATTAGAACTTGCATTGTTTGAACTCTTGCTTCAAGTTTGAAATTATATTCCTGTATTTGCTTCTGGATATTTCTAAATTTTTTTAGTATTTTCATTTGTTCTCATGCAATACTGTACAAAAATTTCAATTACAATGAATTTAAAGAATGTGGGAAACAAAGTTTTTGTTAGTACTAAGTTGAATGAGTTTACTATCTCTTAAAGATTTTCTTTGCAATTTTGATAGGAAATCTAGAAAGTGTTTTATTTGATCTCTAACTGTCTTGAGCTTTGCACTGGCAAACTTGTTCTAAATTTGGTGGTAGAACATATCCATTGGTAGAATTTGAAGACACATGGCGAACTTGATTGGAGAGGAGTTTTGAAGGATTTGGACAGCTTAAAGGGTTCTTGATCTTCGAGCTTTGATTTTTCAAAGCTTTCTTTCTTTTGAAGTTGAATTGAGGAATATGAAATGGACCCTCCATATATCTTTAGAAGTCTGAGTGGAATCCACCCCTTGTGTGTGGGTGTGGGTGTGCCTAGGAAATAGAAATAGGTTGGAACTGCTTGATGAGTCTAGGTGGAATGCCATGCATGTGGTGCTTTGGATTCTTGTGACATCACTTTATGTCATGGTCATCAGACTCATCTATATGCTTGTTGTCTCTATCTGGTGTCATATTCCATGCTTTGTCAACAAACTAACATTGATAAATAAATATATCATTTCTGGGGGGGAGCGGGTTTGCTGTGCGGGCTTTGCTTGGGAAAGTTATTCAATGCATTGATATCCCTTTTTCCCCACTTCATGTTCTTTATCTTTGTAAGACTTTGTATTCATTGAATGTCAGGCAAGGATCACCGAAGGACACGTGTGGCAAATGCTTATTACTCTCTGTTTATGGCTATTGGTAACATTCTTGGCTATGCTACTGGATCATACAACGGCTGGTTCAGAATTTTCTCTTTTACCTATACTCCTGCATGCAATGCCAGTTGTGCAAATCTCAAGTCTGCTTTCCTTTTGGACATTGTTTTCATTGCTGTCACCACATATATCAGCATTACTGCTGCTCATGAGGTGCCTTTAAGTTCAAATGGTGTACCTCATGCTGAAGAAGCAGAAGGAGAATCAGGTAGCGCAGGAGAAGCTTTCATGTGGGAGCTATTTGGGACATTAAGATATTTCACGTCCCCTATATGGATAATTTTGTCTGTTACTGCTTTGACTTGGATTGGATGGTTTCCATTTATCCTCTTTGATACTGATTGGATGGGCCGCGAGATATATGGGGGTGATCCAAATGAAGGCGCCAAGTATGATGCTGGAGTTAGAATGGGAGCCCTTGGTTTATTGCTGAATTCAGTTGTTCTTGGAATAACATCATTGCTCATGGAGAGGCTTTGCAGGAAGCGAGGGGCTGGCTTTGTATGGGGAATTTCAAACATCCTAATGACTATCTGCTTTATAGGAATGCTTGTGGTGACCTATGTAGCAAAGAACATGGGCTACCTGGGCAAAGATCTACCACCGATTGGAATTGTGATTGTGTCATTGATAATTTTTACAATTCTTGGGTTTCCTCTGTCGGTAAGTTGCTCAAGATAATCTACTGCTAGAAGCACCTTGATGTTCTTTCTTCCTAAGGTCTATATTGAAGCTGGGATGGATCTAATAATTCAGTGTTGAATGATAAACAACATATAAAACTCTTAAACATTATATAAAACTTAATTCCTTTTTTCTATATTTTGCATAACATGCAATAAAGCACTTCTTGAAACTTATTTTTAAATTGAGGAGAATGGAAGAGAAGGAAGCGGAGGTGAAATATTAAATTTAACATTTTCTTCTACTTAGATTTACATTAACGTTTCTGTTCTTTTCTTCTTGTCCACTCTCTGTTATCTAAACATATCTTGAGATAAACAAATTCAGATTTAAATCTAAATCAAAGTAACTGTCAAAATTAAAGTTTCACTTTCCTCCCCTTCCTTTCCATTCTCCTCAACCCAAGCATTGAGCTATTAAGATAGGAATTCTTACAATGTCAGCCAACTTCTGGTGGCGGAGGATTCATTTATACTAAGATACTGGGATGCTGAAATCACCACCATGGGTTGCTTTGCATCTCGTGCACAGGATAATACTCAGATTCTTGAACCATACATGCGAAGGGGCTTAATTGACTTGACTTGGCTACATTCTCTTCAGCACATTCTTGAACTATACAAGGACTTTGAAATCACCACCCTTGATTGCCCCCATGCATCTTCTGACTTAGCTCCAAGAAACCTTGCTAATACCTTTTAAATTGAGTGCCATTATTTGTCAGACAGCATAATGTGTAAGAGTCCTGTAAATCGTGAAAATGTTGAAAGTTTACACTATTTGTGGGTTTTTAATTTGAAAGTGGTCATCCAAATAGTGCATTAGTTGAAGATGTATATCTTACTTGAGGCTTCTAGATTTGATTTAATTGACTTAGCGGAATAATTGTTGCAGATCACTTACAGTGTTCCATATGCATTAATTTCCTCACACATTGAGTCTTTGGGACTTGGCCAAGGTAGCCTCCTATTTTATGGCCTTACTTGTTCCTTCTTCGAGATGGGACTGCAGAATTTTTGATATTGATTATTGGTCCTTACAGGGTTATCAATGGGTGTCCTAAATTTGGCAATAGTGATCCCGCAGGTATTACAGCTTTTACATTCCTCTAAGTATATAAATAAAATGAAATATGCTTGCAGATGTAATTCTTCAAATAATTAAAAAAAAAAAGTATCCGGAATTTAGGTGATACTCTTTGCTTTACATTCCTCAGAAAATTGTATCATATAAATGTGTTGTAATTAAATAATGTAGGCTCAATGCATGTTATATCATGAATACTGGATCCAGTAAAAGATTAGAACCTTTGATCCTGTGTTTTACGTTTGCCTTGATTAAAGCAGGGTATTCTGACATCGCAGGAGTATTTTACATTTGATCCTGTGTTTTACATTTAAGGGATGCCTTACAAGTTTTTTGAAACCCCCCCACCCTGCGGGGGAGGGGGGCGGGGGAGAGAGATCCCTCTCTCTGAAAATAAGAAAGCTAATTAGGAGAGAATTCCGAGAATGAAATTAATGGAAATTCAATTCAACAAAAAAAGAAAACAGTGATAAAACAAACAAGCTCCTCAAAAAATAGCAACTTTTTAATCTGTTCGCATTTCTGCCTGGGAAACTTACGCTTGAGGAAGCCACTTGCTAAGTAAAATAGAACCCTTAAAATTTCAAGAATCTTTCTGCTGGTAAATATTCTAGTAGAAGGCATAAATATCACACCTGCATAAAGATTTTAACTTCCTCCTTGCAACATATTCAATATATACTGCTCAATTTCACATGCTATTTTCTGCACCCTGTCAAGCAAAGTGCTTGATGTTTGTAATAAAAAAAAATGCAGTCTTTATTGGATACTTGTCTGGAGGTAGGGTCTGGATCTTTTATCATTTCGCTAACACGATGTTCAATGAAAGCTCACTCTGCATACATATCTTTATATTCATAGTTCTAGCTCTTTGCTTGTCATTTATCTGCAGAAATTAGTGAAAACATACTATGTGATTTTGTGTGATCTGTTGTTGCTTAGAATATCATTGAAAGCTTGAACTCTAACCAAAGCTTTTTATGTCCATATATTCACTTATGTTTCTGATCCTTTACATGACGTGTATGTATAAGTATCAGTGAAGGGCCGCAGTTTATATAATTTGACATATGGTTTGGATTTTTCTTTCCTAGGGAAATTTCCCCCAGATTATTTGAGTATATATTTAAACTTAAAAACAATAGGCTGATTTCACCTGTTGGACATATTCTAAGAAACGATCTTGGCTTTGAGGAGGTTTTGTTGTTCCGTAGTTACTTGAGCTATACACTTATCATGTTTGGACAGATGGTGGTGTCCCTTGGAAGTGGACCATGGGATCAGCTATTTGGTGGAGGGAACGCCCCAGCCTTTGCTGTGGCAGCTATTGCATCTCTTGTTAGTGGACTCATTGCAGTCTTGGCTATTCCTCGATCTGGCGGTCAAAAGCTCAGAACCCACACATGAGGTACCGCATCTTTTATACTTTTGCCTCTGATTTCTTTCTGAGGGGATGGTGAAAATTGAACAAGTTGAAAGAGTTTGTGAGATTTTTCTTTGTTATATTTTTCCTGAGCTTCCTTTCATCAAGATCCTCCTTCCCGGTCTCTTCTAACAAATGATTGAATGCTTGGGGTTTATATTTATCATATTGGTCTCTAATTAAAGCCAATGAGCTGAATTTTGAGTGCTATTATTTTCTGAATTGCATGTTTGGTAACTCAATTTTTATTTTTATTTTTTATTTTTTATTTTTTTGTGACCCTAATTAGCGGATGGTCTATTTTAAAACAGAGAGAATTGTCTGGCGGTTTATACTATGAGGGACCCTTCGCAGGTTTTAGGAAAGGATGGATACTCTGCCCGTCAAGGGAACAGCATAAAACAAGCAATTCATATAGCATTTCTTTTCCTAACATCCTGGGAACTCAAATCTAATGATAAATGCTGTCACCAAATATTGAATGAGTAGAGATTATCTGCAGTTGGTGGAGAATTTCACTGCAAATCAGTCCCTCTTTAGGAAGATGTTGCTTTATGGCTATGTGCCGTGGGAAGTAGTTGAAGCATTTTCTATAGGTTCCAAATTCACTATGGGGCATCATTTCCAACAAACTTGAGTTGCTGCTGTTTGGAAATTATTCCTTGTGAAAATTCTTTAATTCTGAGGCATTGTTCATCATTTGGTGGTGGTGGTCCTACCACAACGAATTGGAATCCAATACATATTGATATTATTAATATATATGTGCAGGCTACTGTGCTGAGTATGCCTAGAAGTAGTAAACAGTGAATATGCGAATTGAATTGTGCCGTTGGATGAAAACCTTCATGGAGACACGGCTCAATAGTATTTAAAAGAAAAAAGGCTCGTGAGGACGTATTTCTTTTAAATGTCATAAATTGTGTACATGGCTTTTTTTATTTTGATTCTTTTGCATTCCCACGAGCTGTGGAATAAATTCTTGTGTTTATTAATGCACTTCGAGTGTTCGCTGTTGCCTGATTTGCTTCCAATTCCTCCGTACAATGCGTAGCTACAAAAGGCTTCAAGAGTATTTAAACATGTCAACACCAGCACTAAGGTTATCACTTGTTGAAAGTTGAAACTATTAGTGGTCCAAGTCGCAACTGCACAAAAGGAATTTACCATCCGGGCAGCCTTTTAAAATCGATATGGCTCAATCTACTGCTTTGATTTGTATGAAAGATGTTTGAGGCAAGGAAGTGGTAAATGTTGGGCGAACGTCTTATTATATCAGATTATAAGCAGGCCATCCTTTAGTTAGGCAAACTGCATTAATATCATTGCTGGGCTGTATCTATGTGCAGAAGTTAATGATTAATTAGAGAGTTTTCCATTATATTTGAGAAGGACCGTAGAGTTCACCTCAGTGAGTTTTTATAGGTACATTTCCTGGATCCTCTCCATGTAAATCGTGGCATATATTAATTCTTGCTCTGCGTTGGACTCAAATGTTACGATTTTTACCCACTGTAAACTGTATTAAACGAAAAAGAATGATGAAAAATTGACTCCTGATAGGAGCCGCAGGGACTAGTTGCCTCTTTTAGTTGGGAAAAGTTTGGTTAGAGTTAGATGGATGCATTTAGAGGATATGTTCGGTCTTCTAAGGTAATATAATCCTTATTAACGTCAAATTCTAAAGATGCCTTGCCACTCTTCTTCCGAAATTTGCTTTCTATATCGTTATCTCTTGGGGGAAAAAATTCTGTCTGATCTCCACTAACTAGACGTCTTGTTTGATTGATGGCAATACATTCATCGCGGGATTCTATGCTGTGAATCTACAACTTATTCTGCATCCCCTGCCCATTCCATCAGAATGCCAATTGTAAAGGGGAATTCCAATTTATCATATTATTTCTTTTGATGACACTGATTTGTGGCCTTTCATTTTCCCCGTTCTGTTGGATTGCTAATTTCTAAGCATTGGTTCTGTCGCGTGATCCATATCTTTGGTTCACAGCAGCTGTTTGAGCTAGAGACAGATGGAATCTGACATAGGATGGTCATGGTTGTGTAAAAGCAGTATTGATATCCAATAGAATAAAGTAAGACTGATTGTTCAGGATGCTAAAGCTCAGAGGGGGGGGGGGGAAGGGAAAAGAAGTTTTATCTTCAATCTTTTGTCTGTGTTTGTGGTTGGTGATGATAGGGGTGTTGTTGTCCCAGAAGGAGATAGCCAATGCCCACTTATACATGCGGAGTCAGGGAGAGTCATCCCCTTTATGATACAGATTAAATGGTTGAGAGTGGAGCACGTTATTCTCTCCAGGGTTTCGCGTCTCCCATCTGTCTCTTCTCCATATGACCATCTGCCCATTAACACCCTTGTGGTCCCATCCATGTCATCAAACACCTGTCTCCATAGTCCACACTATTTTATATATATATATATATATATATATCCATGAAGATGCACCTGGGTTTCTAAAAAGCTTCATTTCAGGCTGATATTAATATTATCCACTTGATTTAACCCTTGTCTCCCAAGTTTTTATCATAACAGAACCAAAATGCTGGTGATTTTCGAGTGCATGCAACGCATGTTTCATATATAGTAATCCTTCCTTCCATTCTGGAGCCCTTGAGAACAAGCTCAGAAACTGTGGGGCCTGGAATTGGATTCTGGAGAGAACTTGCTTCAACTCTATTGGGGCAACTAGTGAGGGAAAAATTTTGGGGATCTTGAGATGGTTGTAGACACGAGAATTATGTTGAGAATGGGATTCATCAGTTTGGTAAGGGAAGAATGAAACATGCATGGCTGTCTCAGAACATGCAAGGCACTTCTCTGCTCGAAAGATTACGAACCAACGAGCCAGCCACAGTAGAAAAAGGCTTGTTTCTTCAAATTTTATATTGGCACTAATATTCCCAACCACAGAAATACTTGACAATTACTCCACCTCACCTGATAAACTAAAGAGAAAAAAGAGGAGGAAGAAATAAAAAAATGGGGTTGATTTCACAAGAAGCAGAATTGGCTTCTCCACCTCCTCCATTCCACCTGTCATTCCCATTTTGAGGATAAAATTCTTCTTGTTGCCATACACAGAAGTCCAGGCCCAAACGTGGTGATTTAGAAGATTGTCCACTTACCATTAACAAACCCGAGCGAGTTAAAACCACCACTAGCACCATCCATCATTATCAGACCAAACAAATCATAGGTTTGACGGCTAGGAAACCACTAAATGCGAATAAATCCATTTCTCTTTTTCTCTGTAGCTTTACCGTCCTCTAACAGGTAAGACCGAACTTGTTTCCTCTCCGCACTCAACGCTACCGCTTTTGGCTGTTTGTTCCTATTTCTCCAGATGCCATGCCCCGTTTTTTCTTTTTCACCTTCCTGATTTAAAGAAACATATTATGCTCTCCGCAAAACCATATACAGGAGAGACAGCATCTTCAAGTTGGATTCTCAGTAATCAAGCAATACTCGAGCAGCCATGCATTTGAAAAGACAGATATTATAAATAAACCAGATGTTCTTTTTTATTTCGCACTCATTTATTTTCGTCTTTTACCTTTAGAATCAATTTATAATTACAAACAATACTTCACAGATTCATTTCTTCCGTTCAAGCTTTCTCTTTCTTTTTAAAACCTCCCTTTTTGTATCAGTCTTAACATTTTCCTATTTACGACACGTTTCATTTTTGAGCAACGGTAGGGCCCGAGCTTTCATGCATATAAACCCATTCCCTCACCTCCCTTCCCATACACAAACACCATCTTCTCTCAGACACAATACAAACAAAACGCACAACCAATACTACGCCAAGCCAGCAACTTGGGGTTCTCATATCATATCCTCCAACCTCTTAATATCTCTTTATCGTTTCTACGTTTATTCCCTTTTATCCACACTTAGCGAGTCATGTTCAATCCCAAGCAGCCATCTTCTTCGTGTCCAGCACAAACCCATCATCTCATAACTAGCCACAAGATCATGGATCCTCCTGATGAGCTTCACAGATGGCCAACTCTTACTCAGGTAATGAAACAGAAACGAAACTGCAACAAAGCCATTAATGCTAATGTGCATTAACTAGCTAAAGTCGCTAGTGAACTCTCTCTTTCAGTTAGGAATAAACAGAACACTACAAGTTGTTATGACATATATACTCGTCATTAACTAGCATGCTCTTTCAGGTGGTGTCAGAAATAAAAGCCATAGGGAAGATATCAGGCCCAACAGCCATAACTGGTTTGCTTATGTACTCGAGGGCTATGATATCTATGCTTTTCCTCGGCTATCTAGGCGAGATGGAGCTCGCAGGAGGCTCTCTCTCTATAGGTTTCGCCAACATCACTGGCTACTCTGTCATCTCTGGATTGGCAATGGGAATGGAACCCATTTGTGGACAGGCTTACGGCGCTAAGCAAGGCAAGCTCCTCGGCCTCACCCTCCAAAGAACCGTCCTCCTCCTCCTCTCCGCTTGCATCCCTATCTCCTTCATGTGGCTCAACATAAAGTCCATCCTCTTGTGGTGTGGTCAAGATGAGGCCATATCCTCAATCGCACAAAGTTTCATTTCTTTCTCCATTCCTGACCTCTTCTTTCTTTCCCTTCTCCACCCTCTCCGAGTCTTTCTCAGAACCCAGAGCATCACTTGGCCCTTGACTTATTGCTCGGCCGTCTCTGTTCTCCTGCACGTCCCGTTAAATTTCCTCTTGGTTGTTCACTTCAAGATGGGCATTGCTGGTGTGGCCATAGCCATGGCCTGGACCAACCTTAATCTCTTCCTTTTCATCTGTTCCTTTGTCTACTTCTCCAATGTTTGCAAGGACTCGTGGGTCCCTCTGAGCATTGACTGTCTCAAGGGCTGGTCTTCTATTCTTGCTCTGGCGGTGCCGACCTGTGTCTCTGTGTGTCTCGAATGGTGGTGGTACGAGCTCATGATAATGCTGTGCGGCCTCCTGGGCAACCCCAAAGCCACCATTGCATCCATGGGAATTCTGATCCAAACAACATCTCTAGTCTATGTCTTCCCATCATCCTTAAGCCTCGGCGTTTCCACGAGAGTGGGAAACGAGCTCGGCGCGAATCGCCCGGGAAAAGCCCGCATTTCCATGATCGTCTCACTCTTCTGCGCCGTTGGCTTGGGCCTGGGGGCCATGGGCTTCGCCACCGTAATGAGGCATCAGTGGGGGAGATTCTTCACCGGCGACGAAGAAATCCTGAAGCTCACCGCCATCGCATTGCCTATTGCCGGCCTCTGCGAGCTAGGAAACTGCCCACAGACCATCGGGTGTGGAGTTCTGAGAGGCAGCGCCAGACCCACCATTGGAGCTAACATCAATTTGGGTTCGTTTTACCTGGTGGGCATGCCGGTGGCGATCCTTTTAGGGTTCATCCGAAAGCTGGGTTTTGCCGGGCTGTGGCTCGGGTTGCTTGCCGCTCAAGCCTCGTGTGCCTGCCTCATGCTGATTGTTCTTTGCAGAACAGATTGGAATGTGCTCGCAGAAAGAGCAAGAGAGCTAACTTCAACTGATGCTGGTGCCAAGTCTGGCTCATTGCCTACGTTCACAAAAACAGAGTGTAACAGAAAGGATTCACTTAAAGACATAGTGATCAGTGATCCAGCCTCTCTTGAATCACAACCCCTCATCATGCCCGTTGCCCAACCTTCAACATGAAGCGATTTAATCGATTCACCGTCATGGTTTTTTACTCCTGTATCCCCCCATTCTTCTATTTCCACGAGCGAGATTGAAATGAGCCTATTTATTTATTGGATTGTATTGTACAATATAATCATTTTCTTCCTCACTTATGCTACCATGATTATCTTTTGTATTTGATTAGACTTGCTTATAGTTTAAAAATATAGTTTTTTGGCTAATTAAAAATATGATAAATTAATAGATACTTGGTCGAAGAATTCATCTAACAATTAAAAATGGCATGGAAATTGGTGTTCGGTGTTAGAGCCTGTTTGGATGGATAAGAGCTGTCGCGCAATTTTTTTTTTAAATATTTAGAAATATTATCCTAATTCTCTCATTTATTAAAAATACCATGTTTGAGTTGAGTTCCTGATTAAATTGATTGAAAATACAGTTATAAATAAATTTTATTCAAAGTGAATCCGAACACAGCATTGACAAGTAATGATAAAGACAGCGAGAGATAGGAAAGAAGATAGCGGGGCCTTAGTTTCCTGTTGTGGGCTATGGGTTTTCGAGGGGAGACAGAGAGAGGTATCAGTTGCTTTGAAACATTTCGAAAAGATATCTCCCCAAATTGGTAAATTATTGGCCGTACCAAAATGGAAAAATAATGGATATACAATAACACCTCTCCTTTTAAACTCCGCATAAATCCCTCTTTTCTTCTTCCCCTTCCACCATCCTCAGCTGCATCCATGCATGTTTGTAATGGCCGTGGCGTCAATTTTATGGTTAACTACTCTCTTGAGGAATAAGAATAAAAGAAGTTCATGTTTTAAGAAGTTCATAAATATGACTTAGCTGTTTCGCATTTGAATTTTTCTTGATTAATTATTGTTTCGCAAAGAGGTAAAGCAATTAATTATATAATATAAGAATGACAATTTATTTAATTATATCTATTTTATTAAAAAATGAATAGTACTATATCCTCTTTAAAGAAATTTTAAATAAAAGTATGAATATAATAACAAAACTCTCGAAAAATGTTACACTCAAATGAAAATTTGAGAGAACGTTCATGGGGATTGGTAAAAAATCTCATCAGAAATTAAAAAATCATTTACGTGACAAATTAAAAAGGGAGAATAATAGAAGAGGAGTCAAAGGTAAATGGTTGACATGAGAAATGGAGGTGAAGAAATTAAACAGGAAAAGACTGAGGTGTTGGCAATGGTGTTTTGATTTGCGCGCACGGAGAAGGGGCTGGGGGATGCAGAAAAAGCCAAAGAGAGAGAAGAGAAGAGTTGAAAATAGTTTTCTATTCTTAAAAATAAAAAAATAAAAAAATTTATTTGAAAATATATTTTTAAAAAGTGTTTTGTAAAATAAAAAAATAAAAATAGTATTTTGGATAACAAAAATAGAAACAACTTTTAATTGTTCTATGATTATTATTCTAAAGAATAAAAATTTTTTATTTTTAAAATATATTTTGTGAAATATTAATTTTCATAATAATAAAATAAAAATAGATTTCAAACAGGCCTATATATCTGCTTGGAATTGGAGGGGCCTGTTTGAATCTTCAGAAGCAAAATACAGCCTTTCATTATTGCCCCTGTCTCCCTGCGCCACATTTTGTCGTCTTCTTCCTCCCCTTATCTTCTACTCTTTCATTATATGTCTCTTCATCTTTATCAGTGTATCTATCCTTCCTGATATTACTCCATGTGCTTCGCTTCTGCATCTGTGGCCAACAATGAACACAGCGTCCATTCGTATATATTCAAAAGCCAACACATATGCTATATCCTGCACTGTTCTTGTTGGAATCAATGTTGCACTTTCTTAGAAATATTGCACTTTTTTGAAGCAAGGAAATCAAATTGATGAGAAGGAATTGGCAGCATGACATGATAGAGTTGCAGACAAGTGAAAGCTGTGTGTATGCCCACCATATTCCGTATGCTGATTTTACTTATTTTCATCATTTATCTGCACATCTCATACATATATGCATTTCATCCCACCATATATATTCTGAATCTCATATATACCCGTCCAAAGAAGAAAGCAAGAGGACTTTAAACGTGGAGGATCAATGTACTGATAATGTACCCTCTATTGACTCATGAGCATGTCCCTCACTAAATTTTGGACACATCTACCCCCCCCCCCCAAAAAAAAAAACTATTTGTTTATCTCACACTATTCTCTTCAACACGACTCAGTATATTTATCCATGTGAACGCACACGACAGAACTTTTCTTGGCATTATGTATATTATCTCATCTCTATTGCCACATTTCTTAGTCTTTCATATTTATATGAAGTTTCCGCCTTATCATATATAGCTGGTCATAATAGACTTGAATTTCGCGGGCCGTTTAGTTTTTTACTGATAGCAGCGATTAATTAGTAAATGTATCAGATTTGTCATTTTGACTATCTTATATAATAGGCTCTTAGATGCTAAGAGTTCAATCAATGTCATGGGTGGCGCAGAAGGAAATTTGTTGATTATAAGAGCAAACGTTGAGAGTATGACACGTGGGCCGTTCCATGTCAGCTTATATAGTTATATATGCCTTAAAATTGGCCAGCATAATATAATGCACCCATATACGTAAACAATTTATATAACAATAGGCACTTTTCATAGAAAGAAGAAAAGGTTTAGAGGAGAAAGAAGCAGTTGAATTGAAGCCGCCCCACCTGGCCGAAATGCGTTCACATGCTGTGCAAAAAGGATTCACCAAGCCATGTACATATATGTGAGTGTGAATTAAAGTGAAGTATAATTAAACAAAAAGACTAGAGAATCAGTTCAACGTGTTCTTTTTTTTGGTGAGGTTGGTGACGCACTTGGAAGTCGAACACTCTTACTAGATCAATTAATCGCCTCTATCTCTGGCTATTGGCCGTATATATGCCAACGTCTTGTCACTCACCAAACCCATCTCTCACATTTTATATATACCAGCACCATGTAATAAAATAAAAATGAGTCCCAGTTAAATCAATCTAATTGTATATCTACAATTGAAAAATCCAAATCTAACTTCTGCTTTGGCTATTTTTGTCACTGAGGTTGACAAGATGTATGCGTGTATGTGTGTATATATGTGTGTGCTGGGAAGGGAGTGAGATAGCCCCCACAATATTTTTGAAGAGTAAAGGTTTTGGTCCTACCATATATTTAATGATGACAGAGCCTGCTAAAGCTCCTCCCTGAAATGTGTTCATTTATGGTCTAACATTTGAGTGTGGCTTATTCATAATGTCGTACGCTTCACAGATGCCACAATATTCCCATCCATTTCTGCTTTTCACTTCTTCTCTTCTTCTTCCTCTTCCACTATTTAATTCCACTCCAGTAGCCCCCACACCCATATTTATTATGTGCTCTACACCTATATATATATATATATACATATATATCTTTCCTAATCCTCAACATTTAAAACTTTGTAGTATTATGTATATAATGGACCCTAACTGTAAAAGTTGTCTTATATAATGACAGGCTCTATGGTTGTTTTATAATGTATGTAGCTAGCCGCGTATGGACAGAGAATCACAGAGAGTGAGAGAGGGTTTAAGATATGTTAGTTTAAGAGGAGTAAGTATCGTCCACTGCGTATGAACATGTGTGGGAAAAAGAATATATCAAGGCAATATCAAGTTGGCACGGAAAAGATGGTTTATTGCTATCAACCATAAATTTAATGCCCAAATAATAATAGCTTTCTGCTCCTTCCATCAATGCCTCTCCCTATAATGACCACTTTCTTGTGTGCCGACGATTGACCTCATTTATATATATGTTTGTATATATGTATGTATATACATATAGCCTCTCCCTCCCTCCCTCCCCAATATTCTAAATTCCGTACATCTATATTAATATAAACTATATTCAAAATATGGATATTGGATATGCTGTCATGAACTCGTACACTAATCTTAATCGATAATGTCACGGCATTTCAAATACAAGTGTGTGTGTGTGTGTGTTGCTCAAGTCAGATTTCTTCAGCTAGTCACTAATCACGTTTTTTAGCAATAAGTGCAAATGGGAGTTGTGCGTGTGAGACATGGATTGACCAGTACGCAGAAAGTTCAGGTATTTATACGATATATATATATATATATATATAGGTGATTGTGGCGTACAATTGTATATTTGCATGGGCTGGGACCATTTACGCCATTCATTAAAGCACTGAGACTTAGGAAAGCTAGTGTGACTGTGAGAGAATGGCAGCACCCTTGTTAGGGAACAGATATTGTCATTTGTAGGACATGAGGGTTCCATCTTTAGGGCTATGTCATCCCTCACCCTCTTGTCCCTTTTTGCAAATATGCCTTTCTCTTTCATTTTGGCATGCCTCTACAACACCAATGTTAGTATCTCTCTCTCTCTCTCTCTCTCTCTCAACTCACAACCCAATACAATAAAACAAGACCAGAAACGAACAAAGTCTTTTGGCCCACCGCGTGTGTGTGCACTAATTTTTAATATGCGTCGATGCACAAAGTCAACATATTGAAAGCCGTGATAGGAACCCATCATCATGCCACTTCCAGGACAAGCCAGTGCACTACCAAAGAAAAAGAGTGCCGTCATTATACTGCTAAAAGAATAAGTACATGTCTTTATGCAAAACACGTGGATATACATATATATCAAACTATAATTAAATCAGAGAGAACAAGCCTTGATCAATTTACTTGTGTAGTGGTGGAGAGTGGAGGGGTTTGACAATTTTTTTTTTAAATTTCTATTGCATATTTTTCCCATTTGTGAATGTATCGACTGCATATTATATTGTCACCTTCTGAAGCTGCACCGAGAACAATTTATTGGTATATATCAAACGACCTACTCGCGAGTCGGAAAGGAAAAGTGAAAGAAGGAAAAGGACACGGTCCATGAAGCTCCATATAATAAGCGCTAATCAATTAATTAATGCGCTGTTCAAACATGGTGAAACTAATTTCAATTCAAAAAGCACGCGAAAACAAAACACGTGACAGTAGGTAAGAAATTTACTGTGCCACCACTTATCTCTCTATGCGGGTGGGGGCTCACTCTCGTGTATACGTGGAAACATTGCACGAGTCATTAATGAGAGAGTCAAAGGGGTAATGTAATGCATGGTTATCTGTTCAAAAACGCTATCCCACAACAGTGACACAGCGCAACAATTTCACTATGAAATGCAATTCTTGCTTCTGATTAGCCACAACACCATCATTATGATATGCATGCCTGGATAGCAATTTGTGTCACGGAATCGCAGCACTGAATGAATATGACGTCGTCTCTGAGCAATTCAATCGCTGCAAAAATTCTAGTTTCAATGGTAACAGCGAACACTATCATCAAAGTTTGTGACTCTAAATGGACAGCTAGCAACCTGGGACTTCGATGGATGATCCTTAGCTACCCAGAATTCAGCTAATCATCTTTCTAGTTTTGGTGACGTCGACTTTGACTAATTGGGATCGATGTGATTGGTGTTGTAAGTGAGTGATATGGAAAAGCACACAGAGGCATGCATGCCTTTGGTCAGTCATCAGTGTATACTGCGTCTCAACTATTCCAACTTGTGTCTTACAAGCCAAGAATTAAGCTGCATCGGCATTCAATTCCATAACGGAAACATGGTACATCTCCTGTATCCACAAGTTAGTATTTATTAGATTAATGAATGAAGATCAGGCAACTCAGGACCAGCTTTTCTTGGGATCAACGTGAAACTCTTATTTACTGTGGAACCATGGAAAAAAGACATTACGTGTAACAGATGTTTGATCTCAAAGACTCAACCTTGTGGCTTTTGAGCACTGATCTGCAATTCTACAACCTCTATCCATCTCTGCGTATTTATCTGAACCAAATCCAGTTAAATTTGTAGGCCCAGCTTGAGTTATTTGGACATTTTTTGGAGCCCAAGAGGCCGTACAGTTGGGCTCAGTGGCCTGTCCTAACTCGCTTCGTTTACGAATTCAGCTCTCTTTAGATAAACCTTTGTTTGGACCATCAAATGCTCTAGCTCTTTTTTGATAAGAAGGTCCTGTTTCAAGATTAAAACTAACTCAAGACGAGGAACAAGTGAAGGGTGAAACCAGCTTACACGAGACCGTGCATGTCTAACAAGAAAGTCAGGATCTTGATTAGCAACTCTTGATATCTGGTAAAAGATCACCACCCAGTCTCGAGCCAGTGAAGCTTTTTAGCGCCTTCTTGTTTAATATTAAAAAATAAGTGATTTTACAAAAAAAAAAAATTCTTTTGTGTTTAGTTACAATAACAAAAAAGTGACCATTGATAAGCTATTTTTAAACCTTATGATATCTTTTTATATAAAAATAATTTATTATTATATTCTTTTAAGAATTAAAATTTAATGATATATTCGCGCATTCCACCTTTTTAAAATATTCTTTTTCATCTGCCACATTAGATTATTTTTAAGTATTTTTTATAAAATAATCAGAAATCATATTTTTTGGAATTTTGATTATTTTTAAAAGTTTCATAAAACTCACAAAATAGATTTGTTTTAAAAAAAGTAATTTTTTATAAAATAAGTTAAAACAAACAGGCCCTATTTAAGATTAAAAAATAAGTAATTTTAGATAATTTAGATATTTTATAAAAAGAAATTTATTTTGTAGAGATTTTGTAAAAAATAGACATTATTTTATATTTGGTTATAATGATAACAAAAAGTGATTATTAGTTAGTTATTTTTAAATTTTATGATATCTTTCTTAATTTTTATTTTATAAAAACAATTTATTGTTATATTGTTTTAAATTTTTGTGATATTTTTGCGTATTTTGCCTTTTAAAATACTCTCTTTAATCTACCACATTAAATTATTTTTAAAAGTTATTCAAAGTAGCTTTGTAAAATAATTAAATTTTTTTATAAATTCCAATTATTTTTAAAAACATAACCAAACAAAATAAAAACTCACAAAATAATTTTTTAAAAATAAATAATTTTTTATGAATAAGCTTGAACTCATTAATAACATTAGAAGCTCAAATGTCCTAGTTTTAATGTATTAGACTAAAGGTTAACTGGCCTGGCCCATTATATATCAATTTAAATTTCAGTCGAATATAATAAATTATAAAAATAATGATTAAGTGATAAATTTTAATTATAATTAATTATATTATAACACGATCTATTTAAATACTATTTTTTAAAATTAATTTTAATAGAATTAAAAATATTTTAATAATTTATTCAGAATTAATTTTAATTATATAAATTATCATAATTTTTAAATTTTATTAAATTTTATGCCTTTTTTATAACTTTTTCTTAAATTTTTTTTGTAATTTTTTCATATTTATTAGATAATTTGGATGCAAAAGCCGAGTCCAGTAGCTTTGAGAAAAAACTAAGTTTTTTTGGCAAAAATTGACTGTGGGGTGAGAAAAGTTGGTCACGTTATTCATGTGTGGTCCTGCGTGGGGTGTTCCCTGAGCAATGGTAGCCGCGTCCTATTCAGCACATTTATTAGGCCACAATAAGCTGTAATTTTTTTCTTTTTTTTTTTTGGTCAAAATATTTAGCTTTGCTTCACGTCCAAAGACTTAAATGAACTTGTTAACCATGATATTAACCAAAGTAATATAAATAAAATTTTGTGTAAAATGTTATAATTTGCAAATTGGTAATATGTAGGGCTATAGGCCTGAGTCCAGCTATCGTGTTTAATTTTTTTTTAATTGGTCATGAAAAGAGTCCATTATATTAAGTATATAAAAAAATGGAAGTACATTTACTAATAGCCTAAAAGAACTACCCCAAAAAACCTTAATATCTCGTTTGGTACGGGAAAATATTTTTGATGAAAATAAAAGCACAAATAAAAGTGAAAATACAAGTAGAGTATAAAAATATATTTATTATGCAAATGAAAATGGTATATGAATTATATTTAATAAATACAATTATATTTTAAAAAGATCAAAATATCTTTAAAATTAAAAAACAAAAAGTCTTCATGTTCATCGTTTGTTTTCATTGTTCATCTCCACCAGTAAACACTCTATTAAATATCAAAATATCCAAACAAAAAACCCATCAAATCTTAAGATTTGTTTCCAAAAAATGTTAAAAATAGAGAATCAAAAATCTAAGCTGAAGATAAACACTAAAGTCAAAGAAAAAAAAATTAAAGACAATTAAAATTTTCTAATAAAGCAGAAGAAATTTCTTCTGATAGCATTGCAAATGCGCACATCCATTTATTCAATTAATCTGTAGCCTTTATTATCAATAGACTTGAAAGAGTAGTCATAGACTCACAAAACAATGCTGTTAGTCATTCCTTCTCTACCAAATAATACAAAACAAAATTAGGGATTTGTTTGCAAAAGTTGAATCAAATCAAGAAGCAAAAGTTGTGAACCAAAAATAAAAATAAAAATCTTAATCAAAAGTGTGAAACTATTAAGCAAAAGTCTTAATTGAAACAAAAATTAAGAATAGTGAATCAAAAATCAAATTGAGAAGTAGAAGTAGAATCATATTTGGACGTGTCAAATTAAGTTCGAGAAGTAAAAAACAAAACAAAAATTAAATTGTATTTGAAGCTTGTCAAACTCAGATTGAGAAATAGAAATTGAATCAAAAAATGATTGGTGCTTGGAATTGAATCCAAGATCAAATCATGTCATTTTTGCCTTCATCACAAACTTTCATCGGAACTAAAAAAATGGAATCATGTTTGGTGGGCAACATAATACGATGAGTCAACCAGCATGGGTGGGGAATCAAGTTCTATAATTTTTTATGGAATTGAGTTTTATGAAGAATTGGGTTCCAGTACCAAATAGACAAAAATATTGGTTCACTTCCACTTTTATTTCTCTCACCCCAATTTCTTTCTACCAAATGAGCCATAAGATACAATCTATTACATAAAAACTTTCCCAAAAAAAAAACCCAAACACAAGACGAAACAAACACCGTAACCAGTTCAACAATCCAGAAACAAAAAACAAAGAAACAAAGCAATTAGGCTTCCAATTTAAAGTGAACTCCGATTGCTATAAGCATGCGAACTCTTATTATAAGTTTTTGGGCCTTTGGCTGAAAAAAAATTATAGCTTTTCAGTCAAAAAAATCAGTGTTTTTTAATCGACATAAAAAATGAGAATAACAAAAAAATTTAAAAAAATTAATTAATTTAAATTAAATCTCAAATATCAAATTTCATAAATTTATAAATTTATTTTTTAAAAATTTTAACATGATTAAAAATAAAAAAATTTATTTTTTATTAAAATTTAAAATATAAATTATAAATTTACCACAATAAAATTAAAATATTAAATTATAAATTTTTAAAATTTAATTTAAATTAATTAGTTTTTTGGACCTCTGCCATCCTCCCCATAAAAAAATACGTCCTGCATTTCGCGGAATGAAAAACTGAAATTATTAGGGATTTCGGTTGGCGCCTTTGCGGTGGAAGGACCTGGAGTTGTTAAAAAGGGGAGGAGATATTCGAATCGATCGGCGAGGGGGTCCTGAAAGCTGCGCGTGAGTAGTAAGCGAGGAAGAGAATGGAGGGTTGGGATCCCAATACGAAGTCGACACTGACTCAGATCCCTCTTCTAACAACGAAAGCGGGTCCAAGAGACGGAGCGGCATGGACTCAGAGACTGAAGGAGGAGTACAAGTCTCTGATCGCCTACACCCAGATGAACAAGTCCAACGACAACGATTGGTTTCGGATCTCCGCGGCCAATCCGGAAGGAACGCGTTGGACCGGCAAATGCTGGTATGTCTACAACCTCCTCAAGTATGAATTCGACCTCCAATTTGATATCCCCATCACCTACCCTTCGACCGCGCCAGAACTCGAGCTTCCTCAGCTCGATGGCAAGACCCAGAAGGTTTATTTTGATTTTTTCCCCTTCTCATATTCCTTTTTCCCAAAATGTTTGTCTTGTCTGTTTTCCCCCCTCAATTCAATGAAATGGATCTTTTCAATGGGCGTTTCAGATGTATAGAGGAGGGAAGATTTGCTTGACCGTGCACTTCAAGCCACTTTGGGCTAAAAACTGGTACCTTCATAATACTTTCTCGTAGTAGTTTCATGCGCTCCCTGGTGCTTCTTATTGGAATAATTAGATCTTCTTCCCGCATCGCTGTATTTTGATCTCTGATTATTTTGAAGTCAAACTCGTGTCACTAAATAAACTTGTTTGTGTATAATTTTAATCAATGGAAAAGTTGGAAGGTTGATAACGTGATATTGTTTCTCCACGGAATATAATGATGAAATCACCAGTAGAAATCTGACTACGTCTTGGCACTGGAATAGACTGGCTATTCTAAACATCTCCCAGCTCTGGATGCAAGGGCATAATAAAAATAACTTAATTTGAATTTTGATACATGAACTTGTTTATCACAATTCTATTGTGGACCTTATTATCACAATCCTTGTGTTGCCATCCTGTGGTGATTTGAGATTGTCTCAATCATTCGTTAGAAGTGCAATGACATTTTCCTGACACTGACCTTGCTTGTGATGTGAGAGAGAGAGAGAGAGAGAGAGAGTCCTCTGAGACATACCATCTTCTTTTCATGATCAAATTGTGACTTTTAAAAGGAGATTACCGGGGGCAGTTGGCACTTTGACATTGTTTATTTTACTAAAAGCAATTATCTGAAGTATTTATATGCTCACCTTCTTTTGCAGCCCTAGATTTGGCATAGCACATGCCCTTTGCTTGGGCCTTGCCCCATGGCTTGCGGCAGAGGTTCCTATTCTTGTGGATTCTGGTATGATCAAGCACAAAGATGATGCGACTACATCAACAGAATCTTAGTTATTCTATGTTGTAAAACCTGAAAATATAACGCCCAAGTTTTAGAGTTATTAGATTGCTTAGAGAAAATAAAATGAACACTATTCTCACAAACCAATTTACAGGATCTTGGTTATCAAAATGTACGTGTATTTGATACTAAAGACGTGAGGTCCATACAGATTCTTGGACTATATTGCATTGTATGTTGAGAATTGCATGCGCATAATGGCTATAGATGTTTAATATTGTCACATTATGAGTAGGAAAATGAAGCTTCTGTTTTAATACATAGGCACTGTATTTGGTATGTCACTTATTGACAGTTGAAAGACTTTGCAATGCATAGTATCCTTGACTGCAGTCAAGGCATCTTATAGGGCTTGAGAGTGTCCTTGTCTACCTGATTTTATAAATAAAATCTGATTGCTAACTTGATTCTTTCATCTGGTACGTGTCTTGCTTGTAATGACTTTTCTAGTCCTTTTCGAAATCTTGCCTTCGATTAAATGGTCTGAAGATAATGTGCTTTTTTGCACAGTATACGGTAATGTTCTGAGCAAGACGTTCACATGCCTTTGAGCTTATTGGCACCAATCATATCTTCGTCTTGTTAAAATTTGTATAGTAAGTATACGATATTGATTGTGAGCATGCCAGTGAATTTGTGTATTCTATTTATATATGTGAAACCAACTCTTGTTCGCTATGACTCTCTTAAATTCTGTTCATGTTGTTATGGATTAAAGGGAGCTCATGTTCATGTTTATCTCTGTTCAATTTATTGGTTCTGGGGGATCGGATGGTCGCTCCCTCCGACTAAAATATTTTCTGTTTATTCCTCTAATTAATTGTCACTTGACGTGTAGGACCATGCATAGCGTCATTTTATTAGTTTGGATCCTCTATATTCAACAGTGGCGTAGTAATCCAATAGAAAAGAAAATGAGACAACAAATTAGACTGTAAGGGACTCATGTTATTAGTTTGATATACATTCTAATTTTTTTCTCAATGTCTTGCAGCAACATATGCAGCAAAATAATTTACTTCGGAGAATCTGGGCTTCTGTTAATGTTTTTTTTTTAATTTTTTGACGTTTGTTTTTCCCCCCTCAAAACATGAAATGATGTTCTATTTAGTTGATATCTTAAATTTTTTTCATGAATGAATAATATTTCTCTCTCTGAAATCGGGAAAAAGGTGCCTTGACTTGACGAAGATTACGTTCTTAAAACTATGCGCAGCAGTCCCATTTCCTTCATGAACAAGAAAAATTGTCGAGACGACTTGACAGATCAAGCAACTAGCATTATACTAATTCGCATGCTCAGGGAAAACAAGCAGCTTTGAATCTTTCAAATTTGAGTTCTTTTTGCCTCGCTTTATATGCTGCATGCACACACCATGGGAGGTTTTGAGGCGTGCGTATGACTGATTACATTTTGCGTCTGAGATTCTGTCATTGGTTTCCATCTCATTATTTATCCAACATGGAATTGCTCTGATCAGAAGATGGGACCAGCAGCGAGAATCTCGAATGAGTTTTAAATCTTTCCCTATTTTGTAGGTCATGAATCGATCAAAATTCTTCTTGAACAGGCTGGGCAATTTCAATAGGGTGTCCTGGCAGTCCTTATCATATCATATCAGGCCACTGCAATTGAAATGAAATTCACTGTGAGTGCAATTCCCACTTGAAAATGCGCCCCAAAAAGAAAAGGGCATGGAATATCCACTAACAGTATTAATGGGGTCCATTATTTCAGAAGGGACGCCCTCCATTGCTGTTGGGTTCTCCGGCCCAAATACTTGAGTTGAGTTGTATTCTGCTTTCACAAGGCTTCCACTGTGAATGGCGTCGATGATTTTCCTAGTGCACGCCACCCTGATCCTCTTCTCCACTCCCTATCTACCGATTTACAGAGAAAATAAATCTCATTTCAGTCTCAATTCAAGACTAAAATGATGGCATGGCAGTACACCATGAATCCTAGATTTGAGAATTAGATTATTAGGATTTATTAGCAGTACAAGTTACTTTGATGCATACATAGGTCTTTCCAGAATTACTAATTTATTGCCATGTTAGTATATGAAGTATTACACCAACATCAAACAGCAGACTCGCAAGCTAAAGATTTGTAGTTCGTGTCTTCGTGAAAAAGCATTAGATCATTCATCCCTTGCTTTGATTGACAAAACCTTATTTCATCAGCTGACCTGTGACGGATTTGTCTGAGTAATCCACTTCTCGAGGATGTTCGTCAAAAACAACATTCTACCGCATTGCAAACAAAGGGAGGTTACATAACTTTTTTGTCAAGTTCCACAACCATATTGAAATGTGTGGTGAAATTCAAAGGGTGAGCTGATGCAAGCTGCATAAACATCCATTAGACGTTAATTAATTCTAAAATAATCATGATTATATTGAAGCTAATTCATTTACGTTCCTTTAAACTTACTTGCAGGGATGAGGAGAGGGTTATGTGCTTGTGATTGCGAGCAAGAAAGAAAGCGGTTCCAAACTTTATAGCGTTCCAGATGTCTGGTTCCTTCTCTCTCGAAGATCAACACACTTAGTGTAGCAACCTCCTTCAATATTCGACACCCCATTTTCACTCCAGCAATGCTCATAATCTCCGATCAAATACCTGTTGTGATCAGTAGAAAGAGTTGTCTTTCCAGTACCTGCGAGGACCAAGCACCAAAGAAAAGTCAACCCACCACAAATCTAGGTCCAAATACAGAGGATTATAACACAGAAATAATACCTGATAATCCAAAGAAGAGAGCAACATCACCATCTTTGCCCATGTTGCATCCTGAGTGTAGAGAGAGAATATTACGCTCCGGCATGAGATGGTGCATTACAGTAAACAAACCTTTCTTCATTTCTCCTGCGTATTGTGTGCCAAGGATCACCATTTTCCTCCTATCAAGGTTGATAGTGCATTAGTCATGTAGTGTGAGAAATGATTGCGGGGAAACATGCCACCATTGTATATAGTGAAGTCTGGAGTTCCAAATTCCTCGAGCTCTTCAGGGCTGGGTTTGATGCGCCTGCCAAAATTTGTTATTTATATTAGCGCTCTGTTCTACGTAGCTGGGGTCATTGCCGTGCTGTCTCATAACTCATAAGTGATGCGGCTCATTACAGATCACTCACATATTGTTCATGAACGAGGAGCGACAATCTCTCGTAGATACAATTCGGACTTTGATTTTGTGTGCTGGGTCCCAATTCAGAAATCGATCATTCATGAAGACCTTAACTCATATCAATAAGCAAAGTCAGTACTAGTCCTTGGTAACCGTTAATTAACTGTGTTATTTTCATTCAAAAACTGCAACAGGAACATCATTATGCATATTGAATGCTTAAATTTTATCTCAAGAAATTCCTACATTTTGTCTGCGTTCCTGTTTTGTTCAGGAAGAGCACGTGGCAGAAAAGGAGGGAAAAGAAGTACCCTCGCAAATTAGAAAATGTGAAAATGAAGGTGAAGGTTTAATATTAAACTTCCCGAGTTGGCCGTAGAAATTTTAAACCTCAACTTTTCTGGCCAGTGTCCACATGTTATGGATACTGGGAAAGATTCAGACTTTCCTTTTCCTTGAATATTTAATTGACTCGTGTGTGAACATCTACAAGTTCTTATCGGCAAAGACGCGTGTCACTCTAGCGCCTCATTGAGGGTTTTATATTAATTTATCCTAGCAACTTTCTCAATTTCCTTTCTTATCTAAAGTTATCTGATTCCCGTGGATCAGCAAAGTCAAAGGTTCATTAGATGAATCATGAATCAGATCGGAATCATAATGGTTCTAGAAGAGAGAAAAAGTGGATCCGCACACCGTCTAGTACGTTAATGCTGTATCACAAGAAATGAGACTTTCGTACTATAAGATAAAGCCACTAATCACATAATATTAGCCATTGCGTATTGATGATGTTAGTAATATGTTTCTTTTCGTTACCTTCTTTTTCCGGTGCTAATGTGCTGAGCATTATATTTATAAAAGTTAAAATTTTACCAAATCAACCTCCGAGGAATTCGACCAAATTATTTGAAGAAGATTGGGGTGCAAAAGATAAGATGGCGCGCGTACCTTGTCGAGGGAGTTCAAGTAATCCACTGCGCTTTCTCTGTTGATCAGGAAAGTATGTTGGTCCATCTCGATATTGGGAGAACCTCCGCGATCAAACACATAGATATTCACAAGCTTCTTCGGAAGATTATATAGGAAGAGGAAAATGACAGAGAAGGGCGTTTTCTGATATTCTCTGTAAGAAAATAAGAGGAAGAGGAAGAAGCGAAAAAGAGCACCGACTTGTCCCACCAAAGGTCATGCTCGGTGATTTCATCCCTCACAACCCGTTTGTCTCTGGGAGACCGTCCCATCTTCGCTCCTGAAAGTGTAGCTAAAGCCCCCGTCCATGTTATGAACGAACCTCTCTCATACTCGATTGCTTGCTCATACAACTCTGCCATGGAAATTCCACATGGGCACAATATAATCTAAAAATAATACAACTCTAATGCAGATTGTGATTGCCAGCAGGGGAGAGATTGTAGAGAACGTGAGTGAATTTGAGAGCACTATCGCTGACATCAGGCTTCGGCGTATAGTGATGTGGTTGATGATCAACATGCGTCACCTCGTGGCTCTGTGCCTTCGGGGACGGATCACCTTTGACCAGTTTTGGCCGTCTCTTTCTCGTCAGCGATGCTAATGACGCACTGATGAAAATTAATTGTAATGGCAGTTCACTGAAATAACTAAATGAGATGATATGATGGTTATGAATTACATGAGGACCTGATGGATTGGAGTTGAAGTCTCTGGCGTTCTTGTTCACATATGTTCGTGGAAGCGAAGGGTCCCCGGGACTGAGAAGGTGTGATCGGAGTGGTGGGGGCTGACTTATTTTGAAGAGAATGGAGCTCCTGAATCGTCTGAGCTCTCACCGGCGGTGTGCTGTCGTCGTGGCAAACATCTTTGTCATCCGCCTTGGGATTATTTTGGGTGTGGATCAAGGGCAACCCATGGCGGCCGGGGCCACTTCCTTTTCCGCTTCTGGAGAATTTGAAATCCCCGTTATTTGTTGTTTCCTTGTTCGCCATTTTCAGTTCTTGCTGTGATATAAATCAAATATGAGAGCGAGGAAGGGTAGGTTTATAAGTAGCTTATCGGTTGGGTTATTGCAGCAACGCATGCAATATCACGGTATATCAAAGGTGCCATC